GGAGAACAGAGAGAAGGCTAATAAATACTCAATATATTCTATTATTTTTTCCTATCCATTTTGTCTTTGGGCTCCATTTTTTCCTCTGTATTTTAAAAAGCATGACTTTCTTTTATGATAATCAAATATGGAATGTTGCCTATAATCCTAGCACTTGGGGAGGCCCAGACGGGAGAATAGCTTGAGGTCAGGAGTTCAAGACCAGCCTGGTCAACATAGTGAGACCCCGTCTCACAAAAACTGAAAAACCATTTGGCTGGACACAGCAGCAGGCACCTGTAGACCCAGCTACTTGGGAGGCTGAGGCAGGAGGATCACTTGAGCCCAGGAGTTCAAGGCTGCAGTGAGCTGTGATCATGCTACTGCACTCCAGCCTGGGCAACAGAGCAAGACCCTGTCTCGAAAACAGAAAAATATGGAATGTTATGTTTGTAGTAAATCATTTTGTTTTGTTTGGAAATTAACAAAAATCATTACAAAACATCAAGGTAATAATATATTTCTGTCTGAGTCATATGAATTCATAGATCTTTTGTGTATCAGTTTACAAAGGACCTGACTTCAGTGATGGATTCCTTCCCCTTTTTTTGACCCGTCATCTCTTTTTTGTTTCAAATATGAATTATTTAATATTGTTCCAGATGCTTACTGAAGGTTTTATTTTATCTTAGTAGCTTTTTATTCTTGTATACTAAATGATTTTCACTAATACGAAGTTTTCACCTTGACATTTTTTTTTCTCACTAGTGTTATTATTACAACAGTTCTGTACCTCTCAGATGCACTTCGTAAGAACTTCTTAAATGAAAACTTTGATTATAAGGTAAGCATTCATTTAGATGACTCTCCTGCTTGGGCTAGAAGAATCACATTGTATTATAGGAAATTACCTAACATTCTCTTGGGCCATGTTAGTTTTAACTATGAGTAATATTAGAACAGTTTTCATTTTATTTGTGAACAAATGAAGGCTGTAATAATGCTTATCGACCTGGGAAATCATAGCGCTTAAAAGGAGATAGTTTTTTATTGTTACTATACATTTTAATTCTTGCTCTTTTCTGTATGATCCCTGTTTATGACAAAGGATACTTAGAACATAGTGTTTTTTACTTTTTAGAAATGGAGTTTATACGAAGAAAACATATACAAAGTAGACCCTTCAGTTTCTTATTTCTCTGTCATCCCATTTTTTTAGAATGAATTAATGAAAAGAAAAAATGAAACATTGGTAAGGTTCTTTAAGGCAGAACCCTCTGTGTATCTATGATATAATGTGATATGCTTGGGTGCCTACAAATTATAAACAGCAAAGATGAGCAGTGCCTATCTTGGCTTTCTTCCTCAATGGTGGTTCTTTGTTTTGGGCATCTTTGTTCTTACTCTGTTCTTACATATTTCATATTAAACATTTTTATAAAATTTCCTTATTGGATAATAAGAAAATGCAAAAAAGCACAAATACAATAAAAAAGGAATTTTAATAGTTACATAATATTTGTCTACATCATAGCTTATAATATATCAAAATTTCATATTTCATTCTTATAAATTACTCATTTTATGTACATTCTTATAAAACTTGGCATATATCCCTAATTATTTCTTTGGTTCTTTTTTTGTTTCTGGAGTTTTTGTTTTTGTTTTTTGAGACAGAATCCTGCTCTGTTGCCCAGGCTGGAATGCAGTGGCGCGATCTCAGCTCACTGCCACCTCCACCTCCCAGGTTCAGGCGATTCTCTTGCCTCAGCCTCCAGAATAGCTGGGATTACAGGTGCACACCACTATGCCCTGCTAATTTTTTTTTTTACTTTTAGTAGAGACGGGGTTTTGCCATGTTTGCCAGGCTGGCCTTGAACTCCTGACCTCAGGTAATCTGCCTGCCTCAGCCTCCCAAAGTGCTGGGATTACAGGCATGAGCCACTGCACCTGGCCCTTAATTATTTCTTTAGACAAATCTTTATTAGTGGAATTGTTGAGTGAAAGGTTGTACCAATTACATTTGATTGCCTCTTTTCCTGCAGCTACACCAACACTAGAAGAGATTTTTTTTCTGACAGATAAAGAAAAAATCCTGTTTGCTTTAATTTACATTTCTCACTAGTTATTACTTGTTGACTAGTTACTAGTTACTGATCAAATTTCATATTTTTGTGAATTGTTCTTGACTTTGTGTGTGTGTGTGTTTGTGTGTTTTAGAAAGAATCTCTCTCTGTCACCCAGGCTGGAGTGCAGTGGCGCAATCTTGGCTCACTGCAGCCTCCACCTCCAAAGTTGAAGCAATTCTTTGGCCTCAACCCACCGGG